CATGACGATGGTAGCAAGCCCCCTTTCTCTGGGCTATCATTTGCGATAGCCGGGGTTCACTTCTGACAATAAAAAGCCACGTTGCAGCTTAGTGGGGCTTTAGCTGGCAAAGTATGTTTTACTGGTAGGAACCTCCTGGTTCCACCAGCCCACAGGGGATTATTGCGTCCGTCCATCGTGCATCCAAAAATGGGAGGGGTGGGGCTGGGTGGGGAGGGGCTGGTCACCCCATGGTGCCCTTATACAACTCAACGTTTAACCTACTCACGCCGGCTTGTGCCCGCCCTCACAGTCGGGCATATTTGCGGAATACACCACGCCGCCGTTGACCCTGCAGGCCATTGCCCGAGCAACCCAACGTTCCTACCAGCTCCCTCCGCAGAAATGTGTTAAAAATACCAACACGTTTTCAGTTTATTGGCGGCGCCATGCTGCCCATTACCTCCAGAGGACAGCGCTAAAGGATTGGCGGTCGGTATCGGTCAACAGTGGTGAGCTCTTGAGGAGGAGGGGGGGGGGGGGAGTGGTGGCGCAGCGGTTAGCGCGCCCCCGCTACAAACCCCCCCTACCCCTCCGATCACGGCTATGTACGGCGCGAAAGACGTTTCACGAACAAGAACCCGGCGACCAGAGTTCGATTCCTGCCTCGTGGCCAAACAGCGGTGACGATTATAATCGAACCGCTTATCGGATTATAATTATCCGAAAGCGGTTCGGAGCCTCCCCTAGGTCGACTCGGCCTTAAGCAAGTACCCGGTGCGGTGCGAAGCAAACGTCATCAATGGGGAGACAAAGGCGGCCGGGCGTGGCGCTGGCCTCCTTACCCCTGCGTGTGCAGTGCCGACCCTCATAGGCGCTGCTCGCCAACAGCACTTGCCCCGGCAGTCTGTTGAAGGCTACACGGGGGATCTTTGTCTTGAGATAACAATGTAACGCTCTCCGCAACTTCTCCATATGGACAAAGCCTTGTATCTATAAATGGATCGCCAAAAAACTATTCAAATTCTGTGGGCCACACGGAACCCCCCCATACTACATCGACTGGACATCTGTGACACAGCGCTTCACAATTCATCGGACTCGTCCAGACTAAATAAATATTAAGATTCTGGTGAGATGTTAACTACCTCACCTGGTATACAAGAGGTCGTGGGTTCGATCCCGACCCCGACGCCTGCTGCTGTATATTTGGAGTTTGCATGTCTCTCTCTCATCATCATCACGGTGGCTATGAGATGTTAACTACCTCGCCTGGTATACAAGAGGTCGTGGGTTCGATCCCGACCCCGACGCCTGCTGCTGTATATTTGGAGTTTGCATGTCTCTCTCTCATCATCATCACGGTGGCTAGGAGATGTTAACTACCTCGCCTGGTATACAAGAGGTCGTGGGTTCGATCCCGACCCCGACGCCTGCTGCTGTATATTTGGAGTTTGCATGTCTCCCTCTCATCATCATCATGGTGGCTAGGTGATGTTAACTACCTCGCCTGGTGTACAGGAGGTCGTGGGTCTATGTATCTATGTATCTCTATGGGTCTCTATGTATGTCTATGGGTGTCTATGCATCTCTATGGGTCTCTATGCATCTCCATGCATCTCTATGGGTGTCTCCCTCCACGAGCATGCAAGTGGGAGGGGCTGTCAGCCTGCAGGCGTCAGGGCAGAGACTAACAGTGGAGTGGCAGTCCAAGGAGGGAGCGAGGGATCACGCGCGCCCAGCGAGTGGCTCGGCCGCGGTGGAGACGGAGCGACGAAATGGGATTGTTGTGCGACAAGCCGGGCGGATCACTCCGTCGGAGGCGATTCCGTGGCGAAGAGCGGTGGCGCAGCGGTGGACGCAGCCAACACCGACACCACACCGACGAAACCGGCCCTTGGGCCTTCCCCTAGGTCGACTCGGCCTCAAATGAGTAGCCTGGTGCGTTGCGGGAGAGACAAAGGCGGCCCGGGCGTGGTGCTTTGCCACCCAATCACATCACAGGCGCTGCTGCTACTCGCCAACAGCACTTGCCCCAACAGTCTGCTGAGGCTACACGGGGGATCTTTGTCTGCGGTGACTGAATCACGGGTGGTCTACGTAGGGTGCGAAAGAAGTTAGAGGTCGGGGACACGAGACCATCAACACTGAGGTCCCCCCCCTCTCTCTCTCTCTCTGGACCACAAAACGCCATACGGCCAGCGAGAAACAGCACTAAATTTCGATTTAAAGCTTTTGTGACTGCAGGGATTCATCTTCTTGGTTCTTTCGGTAAAGTCACGTAGAAGGGAAATAATAAAATAATAAAAGTAAAACTTAATAAATTATAAAATAATACAAATAAACCATAATAAATAATGTTTTATTTTTATTATTTTAATAAAACATAATAAATAATGTTTTATTTTTAATATTTTATTATTTCCTTTCTACGTGACTTTACCGAAAGAACCATGAAGATGAAACAGCACTAACTCAAGGAGTAACCGATAATACGATTTTTTTTTTTACAAAATAAAATATCCGTTATTTGACTTTAGCAAGGTATTATTTCTCTTCTCTATAACTTTATTATATTTTTATTAGGACTTTAAAAACTTGCGGTGGTGGAAGGGGGGGGGACATAGGTCGATGTTGGGGATGGGAACGGCGTGGATTGAACAACAGCTTTAGCCGAATTCCTGAAAATGAATTTATTATTTTAAATATAATAATCATTTGTAAATGATGATGATGATGCGTCATCTCTGAAGTCACAAAATGAAACAGCCGGTAAAATAGTAAACACACACTGAAGACACAATCGTCAACACACAGTGGTGATCACAAAGACACAATCGTGAGCACAAAGACACAATCATGAACACACAGTGGTGATCACAAAGACACAATCTTAAACACAGTGGTGAGCATAAAGACACAATCGTGAATACACAGTGGTGATCACAAAGACACAATCTTAAACACAGTGGTGATCACAAAGACACAATATTGATCACAAAGACACAATCTTAAACACAGTGGTGATCACAAAGACACAATCTTAAACACAGTGGTGATCACAAAGACACAATAGTGATCACAAAGACACAAAATTAAACACAGTGGTGATCACAAAGACACAATATTGATCACAAAGACACAATCTTAAACATAGTGGTGATCACAAAGACACAATCGTGAACACAGTGGTGATCACAAAGACACAATCGTGATCACAAAGACACAATATTAAACACAGTGGTGATCAAAGACACAATAGTGATCACAAAGACACAATATTAAACAGTGGTGATCACAAAGACACAATATTGATCACAAAGACACAATCTTAAACACAGTGGTGATCACAAAGACACAATATTGATCACAAAGACACAATCTTAAACACAGTGGTGATCACAAAGACACAATATTGATCACAAAGACACAATCTTAAACACAGTGGTGATCACAAAGACACAATATTGATCACAAAGACACAATCTTAAACACAGTGGTGATCACAAAGACACAATATTGATCACACAGACACAATCTTAAACACAGTGGTGATCACAAAGACACAATATTGATCACAAAGACACAATCTTAAACACAGTGGTGATCACAAAGACACAATATTGATCACAAAGACACAATCTTAAACACAGTGGTGATCACAAAGACACAATATTGATCACAAAGACACAATCTTAAACATAGTGGTGATCACAAAGACACAATCTTAAACACAATAGTGATCACAAAGACACAATATTGATCACAAAGACACAATCTTAAACACAGTGGTGAACACAAAGACACACTCGTGAACACACAGTGGTGGTCACAAAGACACAATAGTGAACACAAAGACACAATAGTAAACAGTGGTAAACACAATCATGAACACACAGCAGACACACACACGAGAGAGAGAGAGAGGAGTTTGAAGCCGGTGGGGGTAGTGGCAGAGGTCAATGAAAGTAAAACCACGAAACCGCCCGCAGGCACTCCAAGTTCATGGTGAATGCGGAGTGATTATTGATTATTGATCATCGCCGTCTCGATTTATGGAATGATAATTACTGTGTAGTCCACACGAGGCGGCCAATGGCACCACCATCACCATCACCACCATCTCCAAATCCACCATCATCTCTACCACACCATCACCACAACTAACCATCACCATCACCACCATCTCCAAAACTACCATAATCTCTACCATACCACTACCATAACTACCACACCATCAACTACATCACCATCTTCACCATCTCCAAATCCACCATCATCTCTACCACACCATCACCACAACTACCACCACCATCTCTAAACCCACCATCATCTCTACCATACCACTACCATAACTACCACACCATCAACGACATCACCATCACCACCATCACCACAACTACCACCACCATCTCTAAAACTACCACAATCTCTACCACACCATCCCCAACATCACCACAACCAAAATTAACACCACCACCTCCATCTCCACCACCATTATAACCTGCACCATCATCTCCACCATCAACGGCCCCACCACCAAAACCACCACACACACACCACACCACCACCACACTACCACCACCACCACCCATCACACATCACCACCACAACACCACAAACACACCCTACCGCACCACCACCACACACACCACCACCACAACACACCACCACCACAACCACACCACCACCCATCACCCCACCACCACAACCACACCACCACCCATCACACCACCACCACAACCACACCACCACCCATCACACCACCACCACAACCACACCACCACCCATCACACCACCACACACACACACCACAACACCAACCATCACACCACCACCACCACACACATCACTAACACACCATCACAACACACCACCACCAACCACCACACACACCACGACCACCACCACCCCACCAACCACCACCACATCACCACCACATCACTAACACCACCACCCCACCAACCACCACACACAACAACACACACCACACCACCAACCACAACAACACCACCACTTACTCTTATGGCCACAACTTTTACCCGCGCTGGGGCTTCTGACGATGGCTCGCCCCGCAACCCTGAAGGCTTCCATGGCGAAGCTGCTGCTCCGACGGTTGTTGTGGTTGTTGTTGTTGTTGTGGTTGTTGTTGTTGTATTACAAGCTGCTGCTGCTACCGTAGGTTGTTGTTGTTGTTCGGCTGAGAAGTGGTCGCCTCCACCGCCGCCGCCGCCTCCCGAATCGCAACTTTTTGTAACGAAAACTCCGTAGCCACGCCCAGTGGGCGTGGCTACGGAGAGGCAACCCGCGATTAACATAAATTAACATAAATTAACAAAAATTAACATAATGTTTAAAAAAAACTCGCGTGGATTCAAACTGCCGTTTGGAATAACCGCGCGTGGGCGTGGCCTGTTATGTTAATATGGAACAAGGGCGTGGCCTGTTATGTTAATATGGAACAAGGGCGTGGCCTGTTATGTTAATATGGAACAAGGGCGTGGCTTGTTATGTTAATATGACACGAGGGCGTGGCTTGTTATGTTAATATGGAACGAGGGCGGGGCTTGCTGGATTAGGGCGTGGCGAACCTCGCCGTGTAGACCAATGGGAAGCGAGAAAATGTTATGGTAATTCGCGAAGGGCGGGGACCGACCCCCTCCCCCCCGCCCCGCCCATTATGCTAATTAGACAAAGCGGTGACGCGCAGGAGGGAGGCCATGTTGGTCAGGGGTAACGGAGCGAGCGCCGGGCTAAACGGGCGGACATGTTTGTAGAGGGGGGGGGGTGGAGTCGCGCGTGGAGTGACGTCACAAAGCAGCAACACGTGCGTCGTTATTTACACAATATGGCCGCCGGCCGGTGACGTCACCAATCAAGTGTGTTTACCCTTCATTTCGATTTAAAGCTGTTCGTGAGTGCAGGGATTCGTCTTTTTGGTTCTTTTGGTAAAGTCACGTAGAAGGGAAGTAATAAAATAATAAAAGTAAAACATAAAATAAAATAATTCTCACGACGTTTCGGCCACAACGCAAGCAGCCGTCCTCAGGTGGAGAACAGTTCTGTCGAGAAGACAGAACTGTTCTGCTTGCGTTGTGGCCGAAACGTCGTGAGAATTATTAATGTTTTATTTATATTATTTTATTATTTCCATTCTACGTGACTTCACCGAAAGAACCAAGAAGATGAATGCCAATCATATTAGCATAGTATGATTTTTGTTTGCGTTCTGACTGCAAGTATTGTGGCTAATGCAGACATGAATCCTCGTAAAAAGGTTTCAGTTTTGTTGCCAGAATAAAGGGGAAAACCCTATTATTATATTTTGGTACTGACAAAGGAGGTCTAGTGATGTAGATGCTCACCCCGAGCACTCATTACTTTGATAGTGCAGCATTGTCTTTGAGCTGTACGCCTTTTGGCGTCCTCTGGTCGAGCACCAATTGGGTCGAGGCTCAAAAGAAAGCCGTCCTTTTGTGTGGACCAATCAGTTTCAAGGACAATGCATATATTATCATAGTGTGTTTTTTGTTTGCATTTCGACTGCAAGTATTGTGGTTAATGCAGTGACATGAATCCTTGTAAAAAGGTTTCAGTTTTGTTTGCCAGAAAAAAAAGAAAAAACCCCTATTATTACATTTCGATTTAAAGCTTTCGTGACTGCAGGGATTCATCTTCTTGGTTCTTTCGGCAAAGTCACGTAGAAGGGAAATAATAAAATAATAATAAAAAATGTGTTATTTTGTATTTTTATTATTTTTTTATTTCCCTTTTACGTGACTTTACCGAAAGAACCAAGAAGATGAAACCCTATTATTATGTTTTCATACTTTGACACTGGCAAATAAAGTCCGAATTCACGAACGCATTCTGCGCGTGATCGTCGTTCCGCGCTCGATCCGACCGCGTGACGCGCCACGAATGATCTGGCTCCATTTGAACCGTCACGTGTGTAGGCTGCGATCGTGACGTGTGTGCCCCAATGTCCAATGCGTGGTACTGGTCCGCGTAAGGGGCCGTCCATAAATGACGTCACGCGATTTTTGACAATTTGACCCCAACCCCCCTTCGTCACACGGCGTGACAAAAAGTCAGACCGCCCCCCTAAAGTATGACGTCACAAAGCTCTGCCCCCCCCTCCCCCCCAAAAAAAATAAAACATGCTTCAAATCGCTTTAAGCTATTGTCATTGTAGTGCGTGTTCAATGTGGCGCTGCACTCTGATGTTGTAGGAGAAAACATTTATTAAGAAGTCTATTTAATGAAGTAGAACGTGTTGTCTATATTTATTTAAAGTTGCGCATTTTGATGTGACGTCACATTTCTCACCCCCCCCCCCCCTCGTCACACATCGTCACAAATGTCTGACCCCCCCCCCATGTGCGTGACGTCATTTATGGACGGCCCCTGACGTCGCTCGTGTACGTCTCTTGAAGGTGGCACGCCGTTGAAAAGTGTCCACTCAGCGCGACCGGTTGCACGCGACCGGTTGCACGCGGCCGGTTGCACGCGGCCGGTTGCACGCGACCGATTGCACGCGAGCGGTTGCACGCGAGCGGTTGCACGCGACCGGTTGCACGCGACCGGTTGCACGCGGCCGGTTGCACGCAGCCGGTTGCACGCAGCCGGTTGCACGCGACCGGTTGCACGCGAGCGGTTGCACGCGACCGGTTGCACGCGGCCGGTTGCACGCGGCCGGTTGCACGCGACCGGTTGCACGCGACCGGTTGCACGCGACGGATAACGGCTCTCGCATCCATCCGACACACGACAGCAGGAGCAGAAGTCAAGGTTTGTGTTTTATTACAACAAGAACATGATTACAGATAAAAACTATCATATAACTGCCTTTCAAGTCCAACACGTTATGTGTTTTCTCTTATTTTCAGTGTTTACCCAAGAAGGAGGAAAAAAAAAATATTAAGTTGCAAAATACAAATAAAACTTTTATTTAAATTTTTAGTGTTTAAAGATTAAAAGTGTGGAGAGACACTCTCTCTAGCGTGATGCGATCAACTCAAAACTGCAATTGTGATACGTGGCCTGCCGCTGTACGAAAAGTGAAGGCCACTCACTCCCCGTTACCATGGAATTATACAACAATAATGAAACCACTGCTGGATTGAAGGCCTCCTACAATCCGTGTCGATCATGGGGGTTATTTGACCATACTTCACCATGCTGGTCAAAGCGGCTTGGTCAAATTAAGTGTGCGATGGAGCCAAAGACCGGTTCAGACATCGACTCGCAGTGGACGGGAATGAAACCAAACTCGACATGATCAATGGTAAGCTAGGCAACTCGGGCGTGACGGTGGCGAGATGTTAACGACCTCGCCTGGTCGACAGGAGGTCGTGGGTTCAATCCTGACCCTGACGACGCCTGCTGTTGTATATTTGGAGTCTGCGTGTCTCTCTCATCATCATCACGGTGGCTAGGAGATGTTAACTACCTCGCCTGGTAGACAGGAGGTCGTGGGTTCAATCCTGACCCTGACGACGCCTGCTGTATATTTGGAGTCTGCGTGTCTCTCTCATCATCATCACGGTGGCGAGGAGATGTTAACTACCTCGCCTGGTGTACAGGAGGTCGTGGGTTCGATCCCTGACCCTGACGACGCCTGCTGTATATTTGGAGTCTGCGTGTCTCTCTCTCTCATCATCACGGTGGCTAGGAGATGTTAACTACCTCGCCTGGTGTACAGGAGGTCGTGGGTTCAATCCCGACCCCAATGCCTGCTGCATATTTGGAGTTTGCGTGTGTCTCTCTCCGTGGCCGCGTGGATTTTCTCCGGATCCTGCGGTGTTTCCCTCCACGTTTAGAATCAATGTCACGGTGTTTAGAATATATTTGGCTGCTACAAATTTCCACGTGATGACGATAGGTCACTCTGCTGTTGAGCTATTATTTGTGCAAGGTCGCTTCTAAAAAAAGAGTTGTAGAGCTCAGTGGGCCTTTCAGTTTTAATTTAACCGGATGGGACTTTAGTTTCAAGAATCGATATCAGCGCTGGACGGAGGCCTCCACAAGCCGTCGGGATCCGATCTCATCGTCGCTCCATCTCCACCGCTGGCAGATTGGTATCATCACAAGACCGCCAGAGAGAGAGAGGGGTAGGGGGGGTGGTGGTGGTGGTTGAAGGACAACCGCGCGCCACACCACCGAAAAATCGACGTCGAAATCCCTTCGCGCCGTTACGTAGACGAACCGTGCCTGGACGTTGGGCAGGGTCCCATGGGAAATTGGACCAGGACCCGATCCAACGTCAAAACCGCAACAATCCACTGCTCCCACGGGCTTTGTAGCATGGAACTCCCCAACAGACTCCATGTGGGCAAGGCAACTGCGGACATCTTGGATAGGTTTGTGCCCAAAATGGTGAACGGAAAAAAAAAATGTCCGGTTTTGTAGTGTTTTACCGATATACCGTTCCTCGGGGCACAGCGGCGTGGAATTGACACGGGCGACAGCAAGTCGGCGAGAGAAAGCAACAAAAAACCACGCGGGCAGCCGCTGACCCCCCCCCAACCCCCGGGGGGTTAACAACGACACAAGCGGGGCGCACTTCCCGCACTCGTTCATATACATATATACAGTACACAGTGCGGTACAGCCAACCAACACCACCACCACCACCGAGGGCGGAGGAGGCGGAGAAGGGGATATGGAATCAGTTCGCGTAGCAGGCGGCTGGCTGGGGGTGGACCGTCGCGACGTGTTGCCGTTGCAGCCGAGAGCATCACCCGGCAGTGGATCGACCGTGACTTCCTGCCGCCACCAATGATGATGATGACGATGACGCACGCACAACTTCTTTCGCAGCCATCACGCAGCCAACCCGTGTTCATCGGGAGGTGCGGTGGAGAAGGGGGGGCTAGGCGGGGAAGGACAACAAACTAAACACGGCAATGATGACGACGATGTCAGAGCGCCGCATTTACACCAAAACCGTGCGGCTTCTGCGGGAATTGCCGCACGCGCGATATGTCTTCAGTACTATGTACAGCTCCATCCGCGGACCGCAGAGCCGCCCACGCAACTCGCTCAACCGACCCGCACGACGGACGTGATATAGGTAAACGTGCGTACGCAGACGCCGACCGGCAGAAAAAAAAAACCCGATATTATTCGTTACTTGGCGAGCGTAATTAATTGGGGGAGGGGGGGGGGCGATAGATTCCAGAGTGCCCGATATTGTTGACCCGACCAAAATTCCGCGCGTGATGGCTTGTGTCTTGAGAAATACGATTTCAGTGTTAAGGCAAGGGGTCATGGGGGGGGGGGGGACACGCTATGGGCTGACTGGGCCGAATGCAAAACCCCACCTTCATTGCAAACTGATCGTGTGGTGTGCGTGTGTGTCGCTCTCGGTGCTACAGACGAAAACGAATTGTTTTACTTTTACACTGGGAGTCGGGCGGGGTGGACACAGACAGAACGAAGGTCGATTTGTTTTTGAAAGCGGGACCGCAACAACTTTGTGGAACGCAACTTGTAGCGTCGCCCCGGGGGGCATGGGCGCAGCAAAACGGATAAGACGGAGGGACGCGTGAACCGCCACGAGCCCAAACAGTAATTCGACAGCTCCAGTTAAGTGCGACTCAACCGTAACAACCATGATAGCACAGTAACCATTAAATATTGCTGCAGGCAGCTCTCGTTTATCTGGAGTAATGGGGGGAGGAGCGGGGGGCGGTGTTGCAAAAATAAAATATAAGACGTCAATACAAAACATTCGTACGGCAGGGTTAAGCATTATTGTTTGTTACCTGCGTAGCGTGCATGTACGTTCAACCTCGTTCGCACCGTACGTAGCAGAGCCGCGCTAATCGGAGGAGAGCGAGCGTGGGGGGGGGGGGGGGGGGGGGGGCCGGGGTGGAAATGAACGATCGTCGGCTGGAGAGGGGAGAATGCGTCGCCTGCAATTTTTGAAAATCCGCGCTCACGAGCCAACGGGGCTTTCGTTCGCCGACGCGTTTGCAGTCGAGCTCACGGCCAAAGCTCTCGACGAGGGGCGGGCGGCGTTGAGTTGGACGCGAGTCGCGGCGCACGATGATAACGTCGGCTTGTTTTTTTTACTTAACGCAAGAGCGGTCGGTTAAAAATCTCAAACCGGGACACAATTGAGAGTTGACCCGTGGTGTAAGGTCGCGGCGGCGATAGGCATCAAAACCAGCGTCGCGATAAACTATGATTTCTTTTTTTTTCCACGAGCACGGTCGACCCGTGTCATTCCTACGAAGGTCGCACACATCCCACTTGCATAATCAACACTGCCAACAACAACAAGAATCTCGCACGGGCTCGTGACTTGCCCTCGTCGGGGGTAGGGTCAGCAGGCACTGGGGGTTCAACTCCCCCTGGGTCTCACGGCCCCCTAAACCCGCGGGTGGGCGGGCGGGCAGGCGGGGCGCTTGTTAAACTCCCGCGGCTCTCATTGCACGTTGCGTGTACGCACGTTCAAATTCTTTCGCACGCCACGTAGCCGACCGTGCAAATCGGGAGGTGTTTTACCGGGAGTTTAGCCGTGACGAGTTTTGGCATCGAGGCGTGGGGGGTGGGGGGAGCTACGCCGTGGGGCGGAAGGTCCTCATCCAGCAGCGGAGAGATCGTGGCCAACGTGAAGTTTGTGAAGTAGAAGCCGTTGCAAAAGTAAAACTATTTTGGGGTGGCTCTAGTTGTGGTGATAGCGGTTGTGGTGGTGATAATGAGTGGTGGTGGATAGTGGTTATGGTGATAGCGGTGGTGGTAATGAGAATTGTGGTGATAGTGGTTGTGGTGATGACGAGAGGAGTGGTGGATAGTGGTTGTGGTGGTGATAATGAGTGGTGGTGGATAGTGGTTATGGTGATAGCGGTTGTGGTGATGATGAGAGTGGTGGTCATGAGAATGGTGGTGATAATTGTTGTGGTGATGACGAGAGTGGTGGTGGATAGTGGTTGTGGTGGTGATGAGTGGTGGTGGATAGTGGCTATGGTGATAGCGGTTGTGGTGATGATGAGAGTGGTGGTGATAATTGTTGTGGTGATGATGAGAGTGGTGGTGATGATGAGAGTGGTGGTGATAATTGTTGTGGTGATGACGAGAGTGGTGGTGATGATGAGAGTGGTGGTGATAATTGTTGTGGTGATGACGAGAGTGGTGGTGGATAGTGGTTGTGGTGATAGTGGCACCTGGGCCTGTCCCGCGACCTCCTGCCAGCGGAGCTTTCGACACTTCAACGCGGCCTTAACGTGCACCTAGCCTGGCGCAAGCGGCGTGGTAACATCATCAGTGTTGTTGGTGGTGATGATAGTGGTTGTGGTGGTGATGATAGTGACGATGGTGGTGATTGTGGTCTAGGTCCTGTACCCCCCCCCTCCTTTGTTGAGTTTTGTTCCAACAGAGTAACCCCCCAACGTGGTTCTGAGTAAATTAAAGTACGAATAATGAACATCAAATATTATAACCAATTGTCCATTTAGTGAGGTAATCCTAGCTAGCTGCCAATAAGTGTACAAAAAACACTCAAACTGTCGCTCTGCGCACGTGACGTCATTTGTTCGCACTCACTGGTTGCTCACGGCAACCACGTTGCTTACGATCGGGCGAGTCTGGAAGGGGTCTTTTTACTCGTCGTTCTGGGTTACCGCATGGATTCAAATTGTATCGCCAAGTTATATGTTTACATTGGCAGATTCATCGACGCGCCTGATTATCTTACCGACGTGCTCTCGCGCACGATACAATTTCACGCGTTCCATCAATCGCCCCACGTGACCCCCCCATCGTGTCCCCGTTTAAGATAAAAACAAAATAACCGAGAGGGGGTTTGCAAAGCACGCTGCTTGGCGCTCTCCCTTCACCGAGTTCACAACACCGGCGGTTCCCCTCCGCCGTGCCACGGCGAAGCTGAAACCGATGAGGTTCCAATGGTGAAGCTTAAACCGTCGGCGTCGTCGCCACCGCCCCTTGAGGAGGCTACCCAACAACCAGGGGGATAATCGCCGAGTGGAGAATGATCGTCTTCATCATCGCCGTCAACATTATTACTACTACTACGACTACCACTCCACAACCGACACAAGCCGGGAGAGATTTTTAATGTACCCCCCCCCGGCAAGGATGATGAGATTTCCCCAGCAGCTAACCCTTTGAGAACCAAGAGGTTGTGGATCCTTGGGGGAAGGGGGGGAGAAAAAAATAACAACCAGAGGACAGGTGGCAACGGTGCTCGCGCGTGATGACGTTTCCCCAACACGGACGTCATCTTCACCCTGGGAGTTGACACGAGGAGGAAATAAAGCTACCGACAACTTGTTGGTGTTGCCGTTGTTGCTGTTGTTGTTGCTGTTGTTGCCGTTGTTGCTGTTGTTGTTGCTGCTGCTGCTATCGTTACCCGAGGATGCTCCGTGTGTCCCGCAGCCGACGCAAACACGCTGCGGTTTCCCCCGAGTCCACAATGTGCTTTTGTCGCCCCGCGGAAATCGTTTAGAATCGGCGATAATTCTTTTTTTAAAAAAGCTCTCTTGCAAAACGAACCCAGCAGAAGGGAACGGCCGTCACCTACCACCGCACGGGCACGTACGCAACGCGACGACCGACCGCGCCATGCACAGCAGGGGGGTGAGGGGTCAGTGGGTCAGATCTGCGACGTTTTTTCGACATCAGCTTATTGCTCGGGGGGGGGGAAGGGGGCCAGGATAGAAAAAAAAAACAACAAAAACGGCGACGACAACAATCGAGAGATTTGGTTTTTTTTCCACCATCGACCCGACGACGAATCGGAAGTTTTGGGGAAAAATCCGCGCGGTGTCGCGGATTTGGGGGGGCGAGGGGGGCTCTCAGCGTTGCCAAAGGTTTCGACGCGTCTAAACGCGCGCGGGAATATTACAGAAGTAGCAGGGGGTCCCCTCCTTCATCTCGACAACGAGCAGCGTCGTCGTCATCATCAGTGCTGGCTCACCACCACCAATAACAGCCGCCATTCGCCACCGAGTGGCAGTGACGTCACCGCGGCGCTTGTGCCAGGCCAGGTGCACTTTGAGGGTCAAAGTGCTGGCTCGACACGCACGCACGCGTGCATCCCGTCAAGGACGCGTGGAGGTATTCTCCGGATCGTTGATACGGTTCCGGGCGATCAAAGACAGCCGAGCGACGCGCACAAGACTCCCAGCGGAAGGATGCCGCCGTCATTCGTGCGCTTTGCTGTGACGCCACCAGCGTGCAGAGAAAGCCAGCCACGTGCACAGAGACGAAGACCACTCCCGGCATATCCTTAACAGGCTGTAGGGGCAAGTGCTGTTAGCGAGCACCTGTGAAGGCTGGCACGGTACCACGAGGGGGTGGGTGGCCAGCAACCAGTGGCGATGATTTCACACACCTGGTACTAATTCGAGGCCGAGTCGACCTAGGGGAGGCCTAGGACTTGGGCCAGGTTAATCGTCACCGGTGTTGTCCGCGAGCGGGAATCGAACTCGGGTCGCCGGCTTCGTGGCGCGGCGGTGCCAACCGCTACCATCGCCGCTCCCCGCAGAGACATCCTAGGACGTGCTCGCGATCGCGCTGCCCCGTCAGCGATGGAAGGACAGCCGGGAGAGACAGGGACGCAGAGAGAGACGCAGAGAGAGACGTCCGGATGGATGCTACACCGCGCACGCCACCGCCAAAAGATGGCGAGAAAGACGGGGGGAGGGGGACGGGCAGGCACAGAGGGGCCACACGAAGGGCTGTCTTCCACGGCGGACCAAGCGATGGACCCCATCATCATCAACGTCGTCATCATCATCATCAGCATCGTCGTCGTCGGCGGTGGTGTCGCCTCACCGAGGAGGAAGCGTGGGGAGACACCCCCCCCCCCCCCCCACCGGATCAGATCGTTTGTTGTGTTTTCTCTCCGTCGGCCGGCGGGCCAGACGGACCGAGCCAGAGGCCGAGACGCAGAGAGGCAAAGAGAGAGAGACACACAGACGGTCTTCCGCGAGCGAGCGGGCACGCGAGCTATCGACTGACCGATTAACCGATTGATTGACCGATTGATTGACCGGCTGATCGACCGATTGATTGACCGATCGACCGACCGATTGACCGACCGACTGATTGACCGATTGATTGACCGACCGACTGACCGATGGACCGACCGACTGACCGATGGACCGACCGACTGACCAATCGACCGACTGATTGACCGACCGACTGACCGAGCGAGCGAGCGACAGACTGAGCCGCGCCGCACACCGCCGCTCGCCGCTTTATTTGTTTCCCAGCTCCTGCTCGAGCTCCATGAGCTTGCGCGACGTCTTGATCTTGTTGGCGACGTCCTGGCCCTGCGAGAAGAGGCGCTGGCGCTCACGGAACGGCAGCTTCTCGGGCATCGGGCTCGGGCGCTCGCCCGCCTCTCTGCGAAAGAAAGAAAGAAAAAAAACACGGAGAAAGTTCATCTTCAAGCAGGACGGCTGCTTGCGTTGAAGCCGAAACGTCGTGAGAATTATTTTATTATATTTTATTTTTATTATTTTATTACTTCCCTTCTATGTGACTTTACCGAAAGAATCCCTGCAGTCATGAAAGCTTTAAATCGAAATTTAACGGAGAAGGTTTATTCAACCAATTGGATTCACACGCTCCAGACGCCAACGGCGGTTTCACTGTCACGCGCTCGGGGTGGCCGGGGAGGGAGCTTCTGTCACACCGCCTACAGGGACCGGTTTGCCCTCCATGCCTCTCGGACGCCCTGACCCCCCCCCTGCGATCGCCATTGCGTCGTTTCTCCGTTGTCGGCCCCTCCCCTCCACCTGCAACACCGCCCCATCGCCCCCCCACCACCTCCACATTCGCAACGCTCGACTCTTTAACCTGCCTTCGAGAGGCACTTCTCAAAAGATCTATTTTTGATGCTCGACTTCTACACGGCGGATCTTCGAGCTGGGCTCCCCGCGCGTTACCGGCGATCATCACCGCCATTCTGTTTTATTACATCACTTCGGCGGGTTTAAGTGATTTTAAGCGGCGCCTCCGACTTCACTGTCGCCGGGTCGGCATGCCCCTCCCCCCACCCCCCAAGTTTTGCGCCATCAAGCGAGACGCTATTGCAGACGTCGCAAACACATTTCCTCTGCACGTGGCCGCTTCCCCCGTATAGGCACAGTTCCTAAACTAAACTATTTATTTCGATTTAAAGCTTTCGTGACTGCAGGGATTCATCTTCTTGGTTCTTTCGGGTAATGTCACGTGACTTTACCGAAAGAACCAAGAAGATAAACTATTTTTATTTCACCAGCCCAAGGGCCACAACCGAGCTGCCATTTTAGCGTCTTTTGCAGAACAGACCCTGGGCTATCACGAACGATAGATGAACGAAGTGCCTTATCATCATCGTGTGGAAATGCATAGCAGCCAAACACTCTGAACGCGTGATGTTGATCCTCAATGTGGAGGGAAAAACCGGAGGAACCGGCGAAAAAATCCATGTGACCACTGGGAGCACGTGCGCTCTGAATACACAGCAGGCGTCAGGGTCGGGATCGAACCCACGACCTCCTGTACACCAGGCGAGGTAGTTTACATCTCCTAGCCACCGTGATGATGACGAGAGAGAGAGAGACACGCAAACTCCAAATATACAGCAGCAGGCATCAGGGTCGGGATCGAACCCACGACCTCCTGTATACCAGGCGAGGTAGTCAACATCTCCTAGTCACCGTGATGATGATGAGAGAGACACGCAAACTCCAAATATACAGCAGCAGGCATCAGGGTCAGGATCGAACCCACGACCTCCTGTATACCAGGCGAGGTAGTCAACATCTCCTAGTCACCGTGATGATGATGAGAGAGACACGCAAACTCCAAATATACAGCAGCAGGCATCAGGGTCAGGATCGAACCCACGATCTCCTGTATACCAGGCGAGGTAGTTAACATATCTCCACTAATTATAATTGTCATCATCATCATCATTAAGCTTGTTAATTTTTACAAAAATCATCATCCTCAATCAGGAAAGCCTCACCTATTGTCAAAACTGTTTCACAGGAGGTTCTTAAGTACTACTGTGTGCCAGTTACGTACCCTGGGTACTCGAATATATTGTTGTGTACTGTGTGTACTGCTGTGTGTGCTGAGTGTACTGTGCCCCACGGTGCGAGCTGTTTGTCTTGGTGTAATGTGCACGTAGTGTGTTGCGTGTGCTGCGTGTGTGTGTGTGCTGCAATTGTGAGCTGCACTTGTGCTGCGCTTGTGAGCTGCCTGCGTGAATGCGTGTTGCATGTGTGCTGCGTGTGCTGCATGCGTGCTGCATGTGTACGTGTGGGTGCTGCGTGTGCTGCGCATGTGCTGGGCATGTGCTGCGTGTGTGCGTTCTGCGTGTGTGCGTTCTGCGTGTGGGCGTTCTGCGTGTGTGCGTTCTGCGTGTGTGCTGCGTGTGTGTGTGCTGTGTGTGTGCTGCGTGTGTGCGTTCTGCGTGTGTGCGTTCTGCGTGTGTGCGTTCTGCGTGTGTGCGTGCTGCGTGTGTGTGTGCTGTGTGTGTGCGTGTTGCGTGTGTGCATGCTGCGTGTGTGTGTGTGTTGCGTGTGTGCGTGCTGCGTGTGTGTGTGCTGTGTGTGTGGGTGTTGCGTGTGTGCGTGCTGCGTGTGTGTGTGCTGTGTGTGTGCGTGTGTGCGTGCTGCGTGTGTGTGCTGTGTCTGTGCGTGTTGCGTGTGTGCATGCTGCGTGCTACGTGTGTGCGTGCTACGTGTGTGTGTGTACATGCTGCATGTGCTACGTGCTACGCGAGCACTCACGGTTTGCTCTGATTGGTGCGACGCTCGCGTGGGTCGCGGTAAACCTCCTGGGAGCCGATGACGCCGGGCGTCCCGCCGGGCCGGTACGTGTTCATGCCTGCAGACGCACACCGCCGGTAACAAAGCCACGCCACTAACCGCTAGCAACACACCACCACTACTAACCACACCCCACCACTGCTAACCACACACCACCACTGCTAGCCACACACAACCACTGCTAACCACACACCACCACTACTAACCACACACCACCACTGCTAGCCACACACCACCACTGCTAGCCACACTCCACCACTGCTAACCACACACCACCACCGCTAACCACACTCCACCACTACTAACCACACCCCACCACTACTAACCACACACCACCACTACTAACCACACACCACCACTGCTAACCACACTCCACCACTACTAACCACACCCCACCACTACTAACCACATACCACCACCGCTAACCACACACACTGCCAGTGATACAACCATGCCACCAACCACTAACCATACAAACAACTGGTAAAAGCCCACACCACTTACCGCATACACAAACACTACACACACCTGTTGACACACCCATACTAAACACATCCACGCTACAACACTTACCACACAAACACTATGCACACCTGTTAATGCACCCACGCCCACACTACACACACAGAAAGACAAAGATCCCCCGTATAACCTTAACACACTGTTGGGGCAAGTGCTGTTAGCGAGTAGCAGCACCTATGAAGGCCGGCTTGGCACACGATTGGGTGGGTGGCCAGCACCACACCTGACCTCCTTTGTCTCCCCAGTAGCGATGTTTACACGCCGCACCAGGTACTCATTAGAGGCTGAGTCGACCTAGGGGAGGGCCCAGGACGGTTTAGATAATCGTCATTGGTGTTGGCCGTGAGCGGGAATCAACCTTGGGTTGCCGGGTTCATAGCGCAGCGTGCTAACCTACCACGCCACACACACACACCCGTTAACACCCACACCACACACACACCCTCGTTAACACCCACACTACACACACACACCCGTTAACACCCACCCTACACACAGCCACAACTTCCGCTAGCTCACAAAAGCTCTACACACAATTCAAGACGTCACCGTGGACAAATTTGTCGGTGAAACCACCGCCACCTCATCGCCACCACCACTTCCGCTCGCTCGCTCGCCCGCCCACTCGCCATTCAAAATGCCAATTCTAGATGTGAAGCTTTCGTGACTGCAAGGATTCATACTCTTAGGTTTTTTTTCGGTAAAGTCACGTAGGTAAAAAATAGAATTAAAATTTATAAAAGTAAAATAAAAAATCATGACGTTTCGGAGGCAACACAAGCTTCCGTCTTCAGGTGGAACTGTCACAGCACGATTGCTGTATCAAGTAAAGATACAGCAATTCTTACTTGATACAGCAATCGTGCTGTGACGGTTCCACCTGAAGACGGAAGCTTGTGTTGCCTCCGAAACATCGTGATTTTTTATTTTACTTTTATTAATTTAATTTTTTACCTACGTGACTTTACCGAAAACATCTAAGAGTACAAAATGCCAATGTCGAGGGTTTGCTGGCCAAGAAAGGGAGTGAGTGCAGTTTTTCTCTTCCTCCTCATCTGTGCAATGAGCAGTCTACAGTGGGTTTACTCCATATATAGGCCATAGTTTGGGTTGCTCACTCACCCACCCACTTGCTCGCCCACACCCACCCACTCGCTCATCCAGACCCACCGACCCACTCGCTCGCTCATCCAGACGCCCACCCACCCACTCACCGAATCATCCAGACCCATCCACCCCCTTACCTAACCACCCAGACCCACCCACCCACTCATCAATATCCACCCACTCACGCACCCAGACCCACTCCACTCACGCACCCAGACCCACTCACTCACGCACCCAGACCCACTCACTCACGCACCCAGACCCACCCACTCACGCACCCAGACCCACTCACTCACGCACCCAGACCCACTCACTCACGCACCCAGACCCACTTCACTCACCCAGACCCACTCACTCACCTCGCTCACCCAGACCCACTCACTCACGCACCCAGACCCACCCACTCACCCACCCAGACCCACTCACTCACGCACCCAGACCCACCCACTCACCCACCCAGACCCACTCACTCACGCACCCAGACCCACTCACTCACACACCCAGACCCACCCACTCACCCACCCAGACCCACTCACTCACCCACCCAGACCCACTCACTCACGCACCCAGACCCACCCACTCACTCACCCAGACCCACTCACTCACCCAGACCCACTCACTCACCCAGACCCACTCACTCACCTCGCTCACCCAGACCCACCCACTCCCCCACCCAGACCCACGCTCTGACCTCACCCACCCAGACCCACTCACTCACTCCCCCACCCAGACCCACTCACCCACCCAGACCCACTCACTCACCTCACCCACCCAGACCCACCCACCCACTCACTCACCCAGACCCACTCACGCACCCAAACCCACGCTCTGACCTCACCCACCCAGACCCACTCACTCACTCACCTTGCTCACCCAGACCCACTCACTCACCCACCCAGACCCACTTACTCACCCACCCAGACCCACTTATTCGCTCACCCAGACCCACTTATTCGCTCACCCAGACCCACTCACTCACGCACCCACACCCACTCACTCACCCACACCCACTCACTCACCTCGCTCACCCAGACCCACCCACTCCCCCACCCAGACCCACGCTCTGACCTCACCCACCCAGACCCACTCACTCACTCCCCCACCCAGACCCACTCACCCACCCAGACCCACTCACTCACCTCACCCACCCAGACCCACCCACCCACTCACTCACCCAGACCCACTCACGCACCCAAACCCACGCTCTGACCTCACCCACCCAGACCCACTCACCCACCCAGACCCACTCACCCACCCAGACCCACTCACTCACTCACCCACCCAGACCCACTCACTCACCCAGACCCACTCACCAACACCGCAGGTCACCTCACTTCTTTCTGCTTCTTCCCTCGCACCGCTCCACTTTGCAATTCCCTCCTCTCATCATCATCACCGTCACCATCACCATCATCGTCTCCTCCCCCACCCCAACCCCAATCTCTCGCGATAACAACCTCGCTCAGTTCACGTCACGCGTTACACACTCTTACCACCTCTCACGCAACTTTGCTAATGTGCGCTGTGCTGTTGCCGCCCCGCCTGGGCGACGCATGCTCCTTCGGCGGTCGTGAATTTCAAAGAAGCAAAACCATTCCGGTGCGCGGCGCGGCAGACGGGACGGGCGCACAGACGGGACAGGACTCACGGTGACGGACGGACACTCGCAACCAGGACGGCACAAAGGCAGCAGCGGGTGGCCACGGTGTCGGAGGTCACGGCGTGCGACCGTTTCTCGCGATAGCCGTTGAAATGCGTAAATTTAATTTTGCAATTTTAAAAAAAACTTTTTTTCCCCTCCCTCCTCCTGTGATTTGCTTTTGCTGTGCATGTAGCAGGAAGGCAGATTGGTTTATTTATGAAGTTATAATCCAAGTTCAAATTGTTCGGCACAAGGCAGCCAAAGCGCCTTAAAACCTTTCCAATGTTTGTAGAATGCCGACAACGCTGGTCAATTAATGCGAACAAAACATCGCCGTGGATTCGCCGTTACATTAATTAACTCGCAAATAAATGTAGCAAATCACGAATTTCACGAAGAGCAGACATTTATTTACAATGATCCATAAGAGGTCTCTTTTTTACTCAACTTTAACTACTTGAGTTTTTAAACTCAGCAATATTCCATCGGAGGGAGGGAGAATAAAACGGAAATCGGGGGGCGACCCGCCGTGCATCTCACATCGTTGGGGTCGTGGGGGTCGCGGGGGTCACGGGGGTCGCGGGTCGTCGTGGCGACCATAAACCTACAGCGAGCAGTGATTAGCTATTTCCGCACGCACGGTGGGGGGGGAGGGGAGGGAGGTTGCACCGATGAGTCCCAGAACAACTAGAATCCCTCTCCGCAGCACCTACGCATTTGCACATTTCAGGAAGACAAACACCCCCCGTATAGCCTCAACAGACAAGTGCTGTTAGCGAGTAGCACTGACCAAGGCCGGCACGGCACACGAGGGGGTGGGTGGCCAGCACCACGCCTGAGCTCCTTTGTCTCCCCGGTGGCGATGTTTACACACCGCACCAGGTACTCATTTGAGGCCGAGTCGACCTAGGGGGAGGCCCCGGACCGGTTCAGATAATCGTCACCGGTGTTGGTGGTGGCCGTGAGCGGGAATCGAACTCGGGGGTCGGCGGGTTCGCAGCGCAGCGCGCTGACCGCTACGCTACCATTTCACCGCCGTTGCAATCAACGGACTTTCGCAACTTCACCCGCCGCGGTGGCGAGATCAAATCCTGGCCGACAACCCGGCCCCCCATCGTCCCTCCGGGGGGGTGGGGGGGGTCAGAGTAAAAATTTAACCGGCTTCCTTGGAGAGACCAGCCCCCCGCAACCCACCCACCCCGCCCTCCGCCCCGACGTAGCGAAATGTGGAATGTTCAAACACCACCGGCGGCTCCGTGCTGGGACGTGCACAGGAGCTGTGCCCCGATGAATCAGAATCTTTGTTTTGACTGCAGGAGAAATCCGATGAGCCACGAAGCTCTTTTTTGCACAGATGTCCCGCTATGGGCATGGGCGGTGGCGAGCCATGGAATCAAAGCTCAATTGGGGGAATAAATCTGAGCGACCCCTTTCGCTGCGTGGAGTTATTCCCGCGTTTAGTCAACGCCACACGCAGGCCGGCCGGTAAACATCCGACATCGGGCTAATTATCCGGGGACCCGTCGGTGCACGACTTATTAGGATTGGCTTAGTGACAATCTAGAACAGTCGCAGCGAGCGCGCACACGTTCATACACACACACACACGGCGCAACGAAATCAAGGGCAGATACAAATAAAAAGTAAATCAAACACGGACACGTAAATAAAGTAAGCGAATCGTCCACGTCGATGATCTTGCTGGCTCGAACCAACGTCGGTTGACCAGGTCGTCACGTCGGATTGGGGAAGAGGCGACGACGGATTGGCAGGGAGGGAGGCAGGGAGGGAGCGAGCGAGGGAGCGAGGCAGGGAGGGAGGGAGCGAGCGAGGGAGCGAGGGAGGGAGGGAGGGAGCGAGCGAGCGAGGGAGGGATGCGAGTCTGGAAAGCCGGGTCAACTCACGAGCCCCTGGTCGGTCGCGCGACCAAAATCTGCTCTGGAAATCGTCGCGCTAATTTAAAAAATGTGCCACCCAGCGACACACTTGTCGACGTCTGGGCGAGCAGCTGAGCGACAAGGAGTTTAGCATCACAACGGCCAAATCCGAGTCGCGCAAATCTGCCGCGCGAACGAGCGTCTCCGCTGCAAGTTAACGGGTCATAATCTTAGTTCTTTCGGTAAAGTCACTCAGGTAAAAAATGAAATTAAAAAGAATAAATAAATTATTATTATTGTGTTTTATTTATCTACGTGACTTTACCGAAAGAACTGAGATCATGAATCCTTGCAGTCACGAAAGCTTCAAATCTAGAGTTAACGGGTCGTGGCAACCGCCGCTCCCGACTCGATTGCCGAGACGTTGAGTTGCGTACGAATCCACGGGTTGCGCAACCGATTGCGAAGAGGCGTAGACTCCGGCTTCAGGGAAACGCCCCCGAGGGACGGGGGTAGAGGGGGGGGGGATCGCGACGTTTGTGATGGCAGGCGGTCACAGCTCGCATGCACGAGGCGGCTGGGTGCTTTCATCGGTAAGAATAACAATTTAGAACATTTGGATCTTTGTCTTTTTATCGCGCGAGGCATCCTCTCTCAGCATGCAGAACTTCATTTCAGAGAAGGGGGCAAGATGCTGTGATGTGGCTTAACCCAATTAACCAATTTGTGGGTATTTACACCATTGGAATCGACACCTTTTTTTTACAAGGAGTCATGTTTGCATTGACCACAACACCTGCATTCCGACTGCATCCGCGAAATAACGGGGGTGCGGTACAGACACGGGAAAGTTGCGAACAACGGCGGAGACACCCAGCTGCCTCGCGACGGGAGAGTGGAAGCAGATGAGTTGAGGAAAGCTGATGAGTTAATCGGTCGCAGACACGGGGGGTTGCAGATGATCCGACAAAGCAATTTAATCCATCAAGCAAGCCACAAGCAAGCCGCAAGCAAGCCACAAGCAAGCCGCAAGCAAGCCACAAGCAAGCGAGACAGACAGACAGACACACAATCACAGACAAGCAAGGCGTGTCCTTGCATAGAACACACACACACACAGAAGCGGGGTACAGACACGGACACACAGACTAGAGTCACACGTACAGACAGGCTCGCACACAGACACACGTACAAGCCACTAGCACACACAAGACACTCACACACAGTGCCTCACTGCTCACACACACACACAAAGAATAAGAGCCCCCGTGTAGCCTTAAAAGACTGTTGGGGCAAGTGCTGTTAACGAGCACCTATGAAGGCCGGCACGGCACACAAGGGGGTGGGTGGCCAGCACCAAGCCCAGCCGCCTTTGTCTCCCTAATGGTGATGTTTATACACCGCACCAGGTACTCATTTGAGGCTGAGTCGACCTAGCGAAGGTCCAGGACCAGTTCAAATAATCGTCACTTGTGCTGGCAGTGAGCAGGACGAATTGAACTCGGGTTGCCGGGTTCGTAGCGCAGCGAGCTAGTGAACTAAACCGCTACACCACCCACACACACGCGCACACCGACTCACACACACACGCGCACACTGACTCACACACACACGCGTACACCAACTCACACACACACGCGCACACCGACTCACCCACACACACGCGCACACCGACTCACACACACACACACACCAACTCACACACACACCGAATCACACACACGCGTACACCGACTCACCCACACACACGCGCACACCGACTCGCACACACACACACACCAACTCACACACACACGCGCACACCGACTCACACACACACACACACCAACTCACACACACACACACACCAACTCACACACACACCGAATCACACACACACGCGCACACTGACTCACACACACACGCGCACACCGACTCACACTCTGACAAGCCATACTCGCAAAAACAAGCCAAGTCACAACCCACGAACAGACAGCAACAACAACTGCCGTTGACAGACAACAACCCCCAGGGGCCATGCACGCACGCACGCACGCTCTCATTCAAGCCACTCGCTCGCTCGCACAGAGAGCCACGCGCACAGCCAAGGTGCGGCCTTTCACCTTGCGAGTTTCCAGGCGAAGCATAGGTGAGCAGCAGCGAGGCCGGCGTGCCGCGGAGCTGCTGGGCCGCCGCGGCGCCGACAGCGCCGCGGCCGACGCGCGCCAGGTCGGCCATGCTGCTGGAAGCCGCCACCGACGGCGCCTGCCTGCCCAGGCCGGCCGCCCCCCCCGCGGCCGACGAGAGCGCAAAGCCGTCCGACACGGGGCGCGGCGGCCGGGCGAGCGGCGGTCGGCGCGTCGTCACGGCGCCGCCGCCGCCGCCCGGCTGCTGCTGCTGCCAGCGCAGGGGGGCGGCCGCCGCCGCCGCCGCGGGGTTAGTGCGAGCGTCTCTCGTCTTTGCAGAGTCCTCCTCCTCCTCGCCGTCACCGCACCGCACCAGCATGGCTCTGTGCACGACGTCGCCGCCTCCGCCGATGCCGCCGATGCCTCCGCCGATGCCGCCGCCGATGCCCGTTCCGCCTCCGCCGCGAGGCTTACTCTGCTGGGACGGCGCCGGCGGAGACGCGGCGGCGGTGGTGGCGGCGTAGGCCGCCGTGGATGTCCCGTCGTCGCCGCCGCCGCCGTTGTTGTTGCCGGGACCCAGCAGGCGGCGCTCCTCCTCGTCCAGCGCGCGCCGCCGCTCCGACTCCATGTGAGCGTAGTAGTCGTCGTCGCGGCGCCGCTGGTGGTGAATGTCGCCGCCGCCACCGGCGGAGGGAGAGACGCGACCGCGTCAGGGACTAGTGCCGTGCCAACGGGCCGATAGCGGCGAAACTGGCGTTGTGCTTCCGACGACGGCCGGGAAGGGCGCGAGGCCGTTGGCGAGGAGAGTGCGTTACGCTGACGAGCGACAATTCTGGAGAAACTGGCACTATCCTTCTGATGAACGAGGGCACGAGGCTGGCGTTAGCGGGTCAGGCGCACGCGCTACACCGACGATCCCGCTGACGATCAACGAGGGCGAGGCCAGCGTTAATGAGAGCTCCGCCATGCTGGCGACGTGCTCATGATAATGATTGGTGGTGAGCATTGAGGGTAAAATACACGGACCCTACGTGCCCACCTGCATTTTTACTTTGCGTCATTTCATCGTCAAACTCTGGACCGCCGGTTTCAACGTTCGCTCTGGCGGCTTTGCTTCAGCCAATGTTGGTGAGCAGCCGCACGTGATTTTTGTATCGGAGACGGATCCTAGTTTCGGTGCCAACAACACACAGCGCCGGCATCGAGCCCACTGAAGCTAGGCACACCTTCCCAGAAGGCCGCGTGGCCAATAGGATGTGGAAATATTTTTTTCACGATGCAGACACAATGTTGTCACCCGTATATTTATCCTCGCCGGCTTTCAACAGTATCGTTGCTGTATGCATGGTGAACTTCTGTGAGTGGGTGAGTAACTGTGTGAGTGACTGTGTGAGTGGGTGAGTGACTGTGTGAGTGGGTGAGTGACTGTGTGAGTGGGTGAGTGACTGTGTGAGTGGGTGAGTGACTGTGTGAGTGGGTGAGTGACTGTGTGAGTGGGTGAGTGACTGTGTGAGTGGGTGAGTGACTATGTGAGTGGGTGAGTGACTGTGAGTGGGTGAGTGACTGTGTGAGTTGGTGAGTGACTGTGTGAGTGGGTGAGTGACTGTGTGAGTGGGTGAGTGACTGTGTGAGTGGGTGAGTGACTGTGTGAGTGGGTGAGTGACTGTGTGAGTGGGTGAGTGTGTGAGTGGGTGAGTGACTGTGTGAGTGGGTGAGTGACTGTGTGAGTGGGTGAGTGACTGTGTGAGTGGGTGAGTGACTGTGTGAGTGGGTGAGTGACTGTGTGAGTGGGTGAGTGACTGTGTGAGTGGGTGAGTGACTGTGTGAGTGGGTGAGTGACTATGTGAGTGGGTGAGTGACTGTGTGAGTGGCTGAGTGACTGTGTGAGTGGGTGAGTGACTGTGTGAGTGGGTGAGTGACTGTGTGAGTGGGTGAGTGACTATGTGAGTGGGTGAGAGACTGTGTGAGTGGCTGAGTGACTGTGTGAGTGGGTGAGTGACTGTGTGAGTGGGTGAGTGACTATGTGAGTGGGTGAGTGACTGTGTGAGTGGGTGAGTGACTGTGTGCGTGGGTGAGTGACTATGTGAGTGGGTGGGTGACTGTCTTCAGGTGGAACCGTCACAGCACGATAGCTGTATCAAGTGATACAGCAATCATGCTGTGACGGTTCCATCTGAAGACGGAAGCTTGTGTTGCCTCCAAAACGTCGTGATTTTTATTTTACTTTTATTCATTACATTTTTTTACCTACGTGACTTTACCGAAAAAACCTAAGACTATGCTAAATGGGCATGTTGTGTGCACGTGACAAACCTCGCTAATTGGCCGTTGTCGGGTGTTGGCGGGTTTAACGACACATTTAAATTTAGGCGGCTGGCCCGTACCACGCCGGGTTCACCCGGCAGGAGACCTCCAGCCTCTCACCTGCTCCTCCACCTTGCGCGTCCGCTCCTCCGCTTCTCGCTGCTGCCGCGTCCGCTCCTCCGCTTCCCGCTGCTGCCGCGTCCGCTCCTCTGCTTCCCGCTGCTGCTTCGCCCGTTCGTCTGCTTCCCTCTGTCGAGCTCGCTCCTCGGCTTCTCGCTGCTGCCTCGCTCGCTCCTCCGCTTCTCGCTGCTGCCTCGCCCGCTCCTCCGCGTCTCGCTGCTGCCTCGCCCGCTCCTCCGCTTCTCGCTGCTGCCTCGCTCGCTCCTCCGCGTCTCGCTGCTGCCTCGCTCGCTCCTCCGCTTCTCGCTGCTGCCTCGCTCGCTCCTCCGCTTCTCGCTGCTGCCTTGCCCGCTCATCCGCTTCCCTCTGCTGCCGCGCACGCTCCTCCGCCTGCTGCTGATGCTTCCGGCGCTCCTCGTCCTGGAGCTAACGCGCAGGCGGGGAGCGCGAGGGGCGGGAGAGATCAGCGGCTTTTCAACGCGTAATACACGCGCACGCACGCACACGCACGCGCGTACGTAAACGCACACATACGTCCACGCGCACACACGTTCACACGCATACACGCACGCAGGCAGCCGTACCATCCACACGAGTAGATTTATTTTTAGTAATATGCTTACCTTTCCTATACTTTGAACTCCTATCGTGTTTGTGTGTTGTGCGTGACCCCCGCCCGCCCCCCGTGCCCGTACTGGACATCTGTGGCAAAACCCGACCCTCACGGCTCATTGGATTCCCCCCGGGCGAGATGAACATTACGATTCTCCGGCTAAAGACTCTGCACTCTCGCGCGGTAACAAAACAAACAAAGATCTAAACATGAATGAAATTTCAGCGCAAAGCTGCGTCGCTGTTGGGGGGACTTTGCCGGTTTCGATTTCCGTCCGACTCCGCCCCACCGTGCCTTGCGCGCCACGCGATCGCGTACGCAACGCTCTGCACGTACGTTGAAATTATTTCTAACCGTACGTAGCCAACCCGCGCTAATCGGAGGTGTGCAGGCAGTTGGGGGGTGGGTGGGAAGGACAACAAAACTAAAACACGAGTTTCCAATCAAGGTGACGATACCAAAATACATAGCTCCCAGTGGCTTCCTTAACATCGGAAGAGCGTTCCAGACGGCCGCAGAAGCGCTAAAGGGCTCTCCTCACAGCATTGTCCGGACCACCGGCTCAAGAGCGAAACGTTTGTGTGTGTGCGCGATGGTGCGTAGTGGTGGTGGAGTCGTCGCACCAATCGGGTGCACGGATGGAAGATGGCGCGGGGGGGGGCGGTGTGGGGGAAGGGGGGGTATAAAGGATGCCGCATTCACAAATTAAAACCTCGCCGATGGATTCGAAGAGCAAACCGGTGAAAGCAAACGGCAAACAAAACAAAACCAAACGGCAAAACGAGAGAGCGAGAGGAGGCGGGAGAGCGGTGGCGGCGGCATGGCTCACGGTGGCTCCGCCAGCGACAGGCGGCACACGGGCGGAACAGAAGGCACAACAGCCCGAGCCGGTGCAACGGCACCGGACAAAGGTGAACCGCACAGCAAATAAATACGAAGCACGCACACACGCGGGAGGGCATACACACACACACGCACACACACACACACGCGGGAGGGCATACACACACACACGCACACACACACATACGCAGGAGGGCATACACACACATGCACACGCACACAGGAGGGCATACACACACACACAGGAGGGCATACACACACACAGGAGGGCATACACACACACAGGAGGGCATACACACGCACGCACGCACGCACGCACGAGGGCATACACGCACACACGCACGCAGGAGGGCATACGCGCACACACACAGGAGGGCATACACACACACACACAGGAGGGCACACACACACGCACACAGGAGGGCACACACACACGCACACACACAGGAGGGCACACACACACACGCAGGAGGGCACACACACACACGCAGGAGGGCACACACACACGCACACAGGAGGGCATACACACACACACACAGGAGGGCACACACACACGCACACAGAAGGGCACACACACACACACACAGGAGGGCACACACACACACACACGCAGGAGGGCACACACACACGCACACAGGAGGGCATACACACACACACAGGAGGGCACACACACACGCACACAGGAGGGCACACACACACACAGGAGGGCATACACACACACACACACAGGAGGGCATACACACAAGCACACACACGCAGGAGGGCATACACACATACACACACACACACTCAGGAGGGCATACACACACACACAGGAGGGCATACACACACACACAGGAGGGCATACACACACACAGGAGGGCATACACACACAAACGCACGAGGTCACACACTCACGGCATACACACGCGCACGCACAAACAAGGGCACAACACACGCACGCACAAGGGCACACACGCGCACGCACAAGGGCACACACAGACATGAGGGCATACACACATCCTGGAGGGTATACTCACAAGCACGGGGGCATACACACACACACAAGGGCATACACACATAAGCACATGCAGGCACTGACACGCACGAGGACACATACACACACGCACAAGGAGACATACACACAGACATGCAGGAGAGTATACTCACATGCAAGAGGGCATACACACACACACACACGTGTGCGCACAGACAACCACGAGTGCATACACACACACACGCACACACACACACACACGCACGCACACGCATGCACACACACGCACAAACACGCACGCACACGCACACACACGCACGCACGCACACGCAAAGCGGCTTCTCCCGGGACTAAGGCAACAAGCGTCCGTCTCACCCCGACACGCACCGGGCAGCGTGTGCATCTCCCCCACGGCTATTCGTTATACTTCTCTTCATTGACCACCCCCCCCGCCCGCTTATCTGTTGTGGAGCGACACGTGTGATTGTGTCCGCCGCCGCCGCTGCCATCTGGTGGCCAAATTTGCAAACTACATTTATTGCTTCTAGATTTGAAGCTTTCGTGACTGCAAGGATTCATATTCTTAGGTTTTTTCGGTAAAGACACGTAGGTAAAAAATTTAAATTAATAAAAGTAAAATAAAACAAAATATGAATAAAAAGTGTGCCGTTCCTGGCCCTTCCCCCCTCAACCATTATATATACGGGGTAGTATTTCTTGTGGTCTCTCATTTACTTGATACAGCTGTCGTGGCTGTGACGGTTCCACTGGAAGACGGAGGCTTGTGTTGCTTCCGAAACGCCGTGATTTTTTTATTTTGTTTTATTTTACTTTTATTAATTTAAATTTTTTACCTACGTGACTTTACCGAAAAAAACCTAAGAATAAATTTATTGCGCCAGGGATAACAATGGGCCCAATTCAGATCTTTACAAAAATATTTGTTAAGTACCAAATTGTTTTTTTAAACCGACCCAAGTTTTTCCTCCAATTAATGTGACAACGACGACAACGGGCCCAATTCAGATTGAAAGGCTGATGCACGTTTGAAGTAAATATATAAACCCCAACAGAAATCGTTACTGAGTTTGAGGGCCTGAGGATTACATCCTCGGCAGGGCCAATTCATCATAAACATCGTCACCACCACCACCACCACCCGGGGAGATTGGTGGAATGGGTGCCCTGATCTGTGCTGGGACCATCCTTCACATGGTAGTCGAGTCCAAAAGGTGGCGGCTGCTGCTCCTGATTGCTGCTGCTGTCAGGTGGAAGCGAGTCGATTGGCGACGGGATGGAACCAAAGTCGAGAATTGTGGGGAACTTCCATCGCCCAACCACGGTGAGAGAAAAACGCAAACTCCAATTGTACAGGCGTCGGAATCGAACCCACGACCTCCTGTATACTAGGCGAGGTAGTTAACATCTCGCAAACGTGGCGAGACCAGCTGCACGTCGACAGGTCTCCTCCAGACCTCCAGGAGATGAGGTGACCCACCAGAACTCCTGGAGGTTGCATTCCTACAACTTCTGCAGCCGAGGGTGTCACTGGACCTCCTCAAGACGAGATCTCCCCGGTCTAAGAGGCCGTAGTGGAACATCGTGGAGGAGGCCGATGGGGGATGGGGATGGTGGCCGCGTTGGTGACGGTGGCTGGGAAGCGAAGAAAGAGCGGGGGGGAGCTGGGAGAGGCATGCGGAGAGACAAAGACGGAGAGAGGGGTGGGAGAGCGGCGGCGGCGTCGTCACACATACCAAGTGCAAGACCGAGAGAGTCGGGAAGGCCTGCGCAGGGGGAGGGGTCAAGGATGCTCCCGGCCAGGAAAGAGAAACAGACCCCGACGGTCAAAGCGCTCGGTTAGGTGGAGGAGACACAACGACAACGCGACGGTGGCAACAACAATGCAACGACAACACAACGAACACAGCGAACACAACGACAACAACGACAACAACGACAACAACAACAATCTTCTTGGTTCTTTCGGTATAGTCACGTAGAAGGAAAATAATAAAATAATAAAAAGAAAATATAATAAATTAATTCTCACGACGTTTCGGCCACAACGCAAGCATCCGTCTTCAGGTGACGGCTGCTTGCGTTGTGGCCGAAACGTCGTGAGAATTATTTTATCGTGTTTAATTTTTATCATCTTATTATTTTCCTTCTACGTGACTTTACCGAAAGAACCAAGAAGATGAATCCCTGCAGTCACGAAAGCTTTAAATCGAAACAACGACAATGCGACAGTAACACGACGGCTGATCCACGCTCGCGCCGATGGACTACAATACCCCATCCCCCCTCCCCCCCCAACCGCGCCCCCCCCCCCCCGATTCCACCGGCACAACCGAGCCGAGCCAGCACGGTACGGGTGGTTTTTCCACTGCCTGTTTGCTGAGCCAAGCCAGAAGCAAGCGGCGCAAGGCTGATGGACTCACATGAAGGCCCCAGGAGCTATGCCACTTTCAAATCGAGGATCGAAAACTCGTTTTCTTTAGAACTGCCTCATGCGTTTAGTTTGTTGTCTCTCCCGCGCACCGCCGCTTAGCGCGGTTGGCGACGTGCGGCGCGAAACAGAGGTCGCAAACGGGTTTGGATTCCTTACCCGTACCCATACCGGACCGCACCAGGGTCGCAAACGGGTACCCGTACCTGGCCGTACCCGTACCCTACCCGTACCCGGCTGGGTACAGGTAGGGTACGGGTATCGGGTACCTGATTGCGACCTCTGGGATGAAGCCATGTTGCAGACACGGGTGGGGGTTGATTCTAGGAACTTGAATTGTGAGAAGAGACAAGACGTTGGGAAATGAGTGACAAACAGTTACTCACCAGTGAAACACGGTCTACCCGTACCCGGGTACGGGTAGCCGGGTATCGAGTAGGGTACGGGTATCGGGTACCCGGTTGCGACCTCTGGCGCGAAAGAAGTTCAACGTACACGTACGTACAAAGGGGGCGGCTGAATCTGGCCCGGGGGGCCAAGCAAGGGCCAGGGGTTTCGGGGGCCGATGACGCCGTGAGGAGGCGGCGTCACCTGACCAGTGGGGTGGGGAGGGGTGGAAAGACAAGCAGCCTGGGGCCCGTCCTGACCCGCGGCGGCCCCTGGCTTGGTACGGCCCCGGCACGGCTCAGATGTGCCAGTGGAAAAGAAGCAAGAGCTTTGCCATTACGACCTGCGTCCAGGTTTGGAAGGCGATTCACTTTCCTTTCCCGTTCCGAGGGCTACGGGGTGGCTAGGAGACGTTAACTACCTCGCCTGGTATACAGGAGGTCGTGGGTTCGATCCCGACCCTGACAATGCCTGCTGCTGTATATTTGGAGTTTGTGTGTCTCTCTCTCTCTCTCATCATCATCATCATCATCACGGTGGCTAGGAGATGTTAACTACCTCGCCTGGTATACAGGAGGTCACCGACACGCACCGACAGGCATAGTGAAGTATGGTCACACAATCCTGACGACTGACAAGGCGTGGGAGGCCTCCAATCCAGCAGCGGGCTGACGACAGGGCTGTCAAATAATTGCTGTCATTACTATTATTATCCATTGTCAAGGAGGCGTGAATGCTACCCTCATTATTATATAATTTGTTTTTTGCGATTGTTTACCAAACGAAAGCTTTACCGAGTCTCATGACACTTGATCAAGAGGGTGCTGCGACTTTACATCGGGATGTTGAGCTATGAATGCCATGAGATTTTGGCCCTCCGTGTGTGTGGAGGAAGAGCAGGAGGGGAAGGAAACCGGAAGAACCCGGAGGAAACCGAGCCATGGGGAGAGACACACGCAGCTTATAATTATACAGCAGGCGTCAGGGTCGGGATGGAACCCACGACCTCCTGTATACCAGGCGAGGTAGTTAACATCTCCTAGCCACCGTGATGATGAGAGAGAGAGACACGCAAACTCCAAATATACAGCAGCAGGCGTCAGGGTCGGGATGGAACTCACGACCTCCTGCATACCAGGCGAGGTAGTTAACATCTCCGAGCCACCGCGGAGCACAGAGCAAAGTGCCATTTACGTTCCTGACCGCCGCCACTGCACATCTGTGTAAAAAGAGCACCACAGCTAATCTCCAGGATAAAAAAGATTCTGACTCCGACACGGAGGGGGGGGGTGGAGAGACTCAGCGCTGCCATCACCTGGACGAGCCTCTCAAACCCCAAGCCTACAAACACAGCACCTGGGTCTCGATGTAAAGCTTTCGTGACTGCAGGGATTCATCTTCTTGGTTCTTTCGGTAAAGTCACGTAGAAGGGAAATAATAAAATAATAAAAATAAAACATAATAAAATAATTCTCACGACGTTTCGGCCACAACGCAAGCAGCCGTCCTCAGGTGAAGAACAGGTCTGTCGGAAAGCAAATTCCGTTGTCAAGGCGCTCTTCCCCCTCCAACCCAGCTTAAATAAACACTGGCAAGCTTGGTAGTGCCCATTCAGACGCTGTCTTTCCGACAGACCTGTTCTTCACCTGAGGACGGCTGCTTGCGTTGTGGCCGAAACGTCGTGAGAATTATTTTATAGTTTTATTTTTATTATTTTATTATTTCCCTTCTACGTGACTTTACCGAAAGAACCACGCAGAAGCACCTGGGTCATCGCAGGCAGTCCTCCCACATCCTGCCTCCCCACCGAAGGCAGGAAACCCCCTACAAGCCACGCCCACCAGGGTGACGAGGTGGCCGGCGGTGCCGGAGACGCGCCACCGTGCCACGCAACACCACCTCCCGTCCAGCGGCACACGTGGGGTGAGACTTCCCCATCCCCGCCCCCCTCGCTCCCAAACTATTTCCACATTTTCCGACGAGGCACGCCACCCGAGCGAGATTGCTGAATGGGGAGAGCGGAGAGAGAGAGAGACAGGGCAAGGGATCTACCTGCAACACGTGCGTCTCCTCCTCATGCCTTTGCTGCTGCTGCTGGTGGAAGTCTCCCGTCTGCTGGTGTTGCCACGGCAGAGGCTTTTCCTGCGTTCGCGCGAGAGACGGCCGGGCCCAATGGCGTTAACACCCCGGGCGAAGAAAATAATTTAAAAAAAATTAACCCGTAAAAACTAAGTTTTTCACTATAAATCCTTTATATGCGTGTTCAATGGGCCACAACCCAGCCCACATTGGTCTTTGAAACGGGCGGCTAGAGTCCTCTCGTCCTCTGGCTTGAGATGGCTGCCACCTATGGGTCAGATGATTGTCTGCCACCATTAAGCAATTGGTAATTAAATATTAAAAAAATTTTCCTGAAAGGTGTAAAATTTTGGAAAAATAATTTTCACGAAAATAAATTGTCATGCACAACGAGTCTGTGTGCAAAATGTCAGCTCGATTGGATCACGGGAAGTGGGTTAAAAAACGACCGAAAGATTTGCACGGTCGTAAGCGCGCAAGCAAGTGAACTTAATATAAAGGATTTAAAAAAACGCTCGTTCGTAACGTTGGCGAGCGATCAAGCGCTGCCACGCAAACCTCCTCGCTCATACTACGACAGGCGTCTCCTCTCGCTCTCATTACACTATGGAACACGATTCTTGTCCCGGGGTAGTAAGTGTTATGTTTTAATTGCTTATGCCTAAAAAGAATAGAAAATATAGTGATAGGTTTTTACCCTTTCAACTGGTACAAAAACTGACACCGTTATACAAGGCATCATGTTTGCAATAACCACAACACAAGCTGTCAAAATGCAAACAAAAAGAAACAACTCTGATGATGATAATGATATGCACTGTCTTTGAAGTTGATTGGTCCACACCCGAGACAGCTTTTCTTAGAGAAAATGGCTATTATTCCCCACAAACTTTGCTTTTGTGACCAGGACTTTATGCGAAGGAATGACACAAATGCACACCACGTTATCTCATTGAAAATAAGTACATTTCTAAACGTAACTGTCCTGGTCACAAAAGCAAAGTTTGTGAGTTATAATAGCCAATTCTGTACTTTTGAGGCATAAGTAATCAGGAATTAACACTTACTACCCAGGAACAAAACATTTTTTTTGTTACACTTTTAATTATTTAAGAGGCACCATGGTAGCTAGGAGATGTTAACTCCCTCGCCTGGTATGCAGGTCAGGGGATCTTTCCGACCCCGATGCCTGCTGTATATTTGGAGTTCGCCTGTATCTCTCTCTCCCCGTGGTTGCGTGGATTTTTCTCCCGGTCCTCCGGTTTTCCCCTCCCCATTTAGAATCGACATCACGGGTTTAGAGTGTTTGGCTGCAATACATTTTCACGCGACGATAAGCCCACTTTGGTTGTGAGCTACATAGCTCAATGGGGCCAAAATGAAAATAGTCAACTTCAAGGACAGTGCATACATTATCAGAGTTATGTTTTTTGTTTGCATTATGACCGCAGGTATTGTGGTCTATGCAAACATGACTCCTTGTAAAATAAGGTGCCAGTTTTGTTGCCAGATAGAAGGGTAAAAAAACTATTCTGAAAATAGTTAATTCGCTTAAATAGCATCACAGTTTCCGTGCGTGGGTCCGTAAAGACGCTGGTGTCTCCACGTCCGTGCGCGCGCGAGCGACGTTCACCTGCACCGACTGCTTCTGCCCTGCGGCCTGCGCCCCGATCCTAGTGCCTCCACCTCCCTCGTCGTCGTCCCTCTCTTCGTAGTCGTCGTCGTCGTCATCGTCGTCGTCGCCGCCCCGCCGGCGCAGCGACACCTCCTGCACGCGCCGCTGAAACTCGCGCTCCAGCAGCAGCTTGCGCAGCCGGTCGCTCTCCTCGGGCAGCAGCTGGTGCTGCGGCCGCGACTGCAGCGCCGCGATCTCCCGCTCCAGCATCTCCAGCTGCTGCTGCTGCCGCTGCTTCTCCTGGCGCTCGCGGGCGTCGCGCGCCCACGGCGACGGCGACAGCTGCGGGGAGCCGCTGGCGCTCTCCTCCTCGCCGGTGCCCGCGGGGGGGGGCACCAGGAAGTGCAGGTCGTGGCGCTCGATGGTGCGCGGCTGCGACTGGGGGCGCAGCTCCCTGAAGGAGGGGGAGGGGGACGGGGGGGGGGGGGCGAGTCGGCAATTGACCGAGCGTGGCGCCAGGCAGCAACGTTGATAGAACCAGCGGCGTGGAGCACTGGCGCCATTGGTAGTTGCACTAACAGCATGGACAGCGGCACTAGCAGCAACGTTGATAGAGCCGGCAGGATGGGGGGGGCAGCATCGAGCGTGGCGCTAGGGGCATCGTTCCGTGCAAAAAACATCGAAAAAAGCCCCAAGATGCCGAGCGCCGCAGTCGCCCCGAGGTGGAGGAGGCGGTGGGGGGGGCGAGGTATCACCTGATGATCGTGTCTCCTTGCGACGGCACCGCCGGCCTTTCGTGCGGTCTCACCACCGACCCCGCGCCCGCGCCACCACCGCCACCGCCGCCGGGAGCAGCGGCCCCCGCCGCTTTCCTGCGCCGCTGTCGCTCGCGCTCCTCCTCCAGCCGCGCCTTCTCCGCCTCGTACCAGCGCAGCTGCTCCTCGCGCTTGCGCTCCGCCTCGGGCCCCGCGTCGCCGCCATAGCCGGGCGACGGCAGCGACGGCGACGAAAGCGACGACAGCGACGAGGACGTGCCCCCGCCGCTCATCCCGCCCATGCCGTGCAGGGCGGACGCCGGCGGCGGAGGCGGCGGTGGCGGCGGGAGGTCCCGCGACTCGGGGCCGTACCCCGGCGGGTACCGCGTCGGAGGGGGCGGCGGAGGGAGGCCGCCTCCTTGCTGGCCACCGCCGCCGCCGCCGCCACCGCTGACGACGGGCGTCTTCCAGCGGCCCGGCCCCGTCTTGGCGGAGGCGGCGCCGCCCACGGCGATGCCGTACTGCGGCGCGCGAGCCGACAGCGCCGACTGCTCGTGGCTGGAGGAGGATAGGAGCGAGGAGGGCGGCTGCTGGCGCTGCGCTTGCTGCTGCCCGTGGTGGTGGTGTGGCGGTGGCGGCGGCGGCCCCGCCGCACGGTAGGGGCGGTCTCGCCGCAGCTCCTCCTCGGAGTGCGCCGCTCTCTGCGCGACGGAGGGCGGGAGGAGGAGAGGTTACGGTGGACGCGTGTGGTGGTTGGGGTGGTGATGATGATGATGGTGGTCGTTGTGGTGATGATGGTGGTGGTGGTTGTTGTTGGAGGTGCTGCTGCTGAACCTGGAGCGTGCCACAAAATACCCAGCACCTGCCTGGGTATTGTGCTACCAAACACTCCACACCCTCTGCTCCTCCATTGCTGATGGAGCAGTTGCTGTGTGGAAGCTACCTGGGTCTGTCGCTCCGCACAAAGCTTTGGGTGTTCTTGGCCACAACCATGCCCTCCCGACTCTATGCTTGTGAAACGTGGACCCCCTCTAATGGAATATCTGCGCTGGTTAGAAACATTCAGGCTGGCATGCCTACGAACCACCCTGGGTTTAACCAGGCTGGATTGTGTGAGGAGCTCACAAATCCTTGATCTGGACACATTCCCATCAGTGGGCTCCTCCGGCAGGCAAGGCGGCCCTGGCTGGGTCATGTAGCCCGCATGCCCAGCCACCGCATGCCCAAGCAGATTCTGTCTGGCTGGGGAGCTAAACAGGCACGAAATGGGTTGAGTGGACTTGCCGGAGATTGGTACCAGCGGTGTCAAGATCGGCCTCTGTGGAGGAGGCTCGTGAAGGACGCTGCTTACTGGGCAGTCAGATGCAGTCGTCTTTCAGCAACGACGGAGGGCAGAGGGGTGACGCTCACAACAACGAGGGGAGCGCCGGCCGGCTACACTGCAGCAAGTTGGCACGTTAGCCAACCCACAGCACCTGGGTCTGTCCCGAGACCTCCTGCCAACGAGCCTTCGACACTTCACGTGGCCTCAAAGTGCACATGGCCTGGCACAGGTGCCGTGGTGACGTCACTGTCACTTAGTGGCGAATGGCGGGTGTTGGTGGTATTGGTGGTGGTTATGGTAATGATGGCAGGTGGCATTAGCGGTGCTGCTGGTGGTTGTGGTGATGGTGGTTCCCGCTCACGGCCAACACCAGTGACAATTATCTGAAAGAGTCCTGGGCCTCTCCAAGGTCGACTCAGCCTCAAATGAGTACCCGGTGTGGTGTGTAGTAAACATTGCCTCTGGGGAGACAAAGGCAGCCAGCAGTGGTGCTGGCCACCCACCCCCTCGTGTGCCATAGGTGCCACTCGCTAACAGCACTTGCTCCAACAGACTGAGATCAGCGATCTCAGCCTAACAAGCTCCGTGCCAACCTAGCCTGGCACACGAGCTGTGGTTACGTCACCGTGGCGGTGTTGGTATGCTGTTGTTGTTGTTGTTGCTGTTGTTGCTGCTGTATTTATGTTTGCTGAACTTCTTTCGCACCGTACATAGTCAACTGTGGTAATCGAAGGTGCGCGGGGGAAGGACAACAAAACTAAACACAAAAAGCAGTTCTAAAGAAATACATTTTCAATTTAGAGCCGAGAGGCTAACACCACTGGCAATGTTGACACACCCCGCACCAGGTACTCATTTGAGGCCGAGTTGACCTAGAGCAGGCCCAGGACTGGTTCAGATAATCGTCACACCTGCGGCTGCGGCTGCTACTGCTGCTGTTGCTGCTGCTGCTGCTGTTACTGCTGCTGTTGCTGCTGCTGCTACTGTTGCTGCTGCTGCTGCTGCTGCTACTGCTGCTGCTGCGGCTGCTGCTGCGGCTGCTGTTACTGCTGCTGCTGTTGCTGCTGCTAATGTTGCTGCTGCTGCTGCTGTTACTGCTACTACTACTGCTGCTACTGCTGCTGCTACTACTACTACTACTGCTGCTACTGCTGCTACTACTACTGCTGCTGCTGCTGCTGCTACTGCTGCTACTACTGCTGCTGCTACTACTGCTGCTGCTACTACTACTGCTGCTACTGCTGCTGCTACTACTGCTGCTACTGCTGCTGCTACTGCTGCTGCTACTACTGCTACTACTGCTGCTGCTGCTACTGCTGCTGCTGCTATTGTTGCTGCTGCTACTACTGCTACTACTACTACTGCTGCTGCTGCTGCTGTTGCGTCTCACCTGCATGCCGGAGGCCGCCCAAGCGGGGGAGCTGTCTGCGGGCGGGGGTGGCAGCGTGCTGCACTCGCGTGCGTAGGTGGCTGTGGGCACCGGGTAGGCCTCGAGCGACGGCGGAGAGGGACTCTCCTGCACGGCGCACACGGCACACACGCACGACACGCATGACACACACGCACGACACGCATGACACACACACACGGCACGCACGACACGCACGACACACACAACACGCATGACACACACGCAAGGCACACACGCACGACACGCAACGGCACGGCACGCACGACACACACAACACACACAACACGCATGACACACACGCAAGGCACACACGCACGCACGCACGGCACACACACGACACGCAAGCACGGCACACACGCAAGGCACACAGACAACGGCACACATGGCAGGTAGGCGCGAGGTCAAATCTCGACACGGTTTATTGTAACCAGGTGAGAACTCGTGGGACCGGGGTAGGGGTGTTAGACTGAGTGCATGAGTGGGTGGATGGGTGGGGGAATGGGTGAGTGAGTGGGTCATTTTATCAAGTGGACGAGTGGGTAGGTGAGTGAGTGGGTCAGTGGATGGGTGGGTAGGTGGGTGGGTGAGTCAGTGGATGGGTGGGTAGGTGAGTGGGTGAGTCAGTGGATGGGTGGGTAGGTGGGTGGGTAGGTGGGTGGGTGGGTAGGTGGGTGGGTGGGTGAGTTAGTGGATGGGTGGGTAGGTGAGTGGGTGAGTCAGTGGATGGGTGGGTAGGTGGGTGGGTAGGTGGGTGGGTGGGTAGGTGGGTGGGTGGGTGAGTTAGTGGATGGGTGGGTAGGTGAGTGGGTGAGTCAGTGGATGGGTGGGTAGGTGGGTGGGTAGGTGAGTGAGTGGGTCAGTGGATGGGTGGGTGAGTGGGTCAGTGGATGGGTGGGTAGGTGGGTGAGTGGATGGGTGGGTAGGTGGGTAGGTGAGCGAGTGGATGGGTGATGTGGTGATATGTGACGATGTGATGTGTGACAATGTGATGTGTGACGAGGTGGTCACCTCTGCCTTGAGGTTGCCGGTCGACACCGACTGGACCCTGGAGGCCGGAGCGCCCGGGTACACGGGGCGGAGACCCACGCTGTCGGGGGAGTCTGCGGGGGGCGGGGGGGGGACAAGCGACGGACGAGTTCTAAGGAAGACGGAACCCTTCGTCAGTGACGACACTAAACTACAGATATTTTTTTATTTCAGAAGTGACCCGGCTATCACAAAGGACAGCTCAACCAAGTGGCTTATCAAACGTAGAGCAGTCGCCAAGCACTCCAAACGCGCTGCGATGTCGATTCTAAATGTGGAGGAAAAAACCGGGGGATCCGGAGAAAAAAATCCACGCCACCACCGTGGCAAGATCTCACCGCCGCAGACAGACGGGCAAACACGAGACCAACGGTGCAAAAACACGGTGGGGTCTCTGACCGCGACGGCGTGGACGCACGATCTCTCCGTGCACCACAGCGCGACCACGCACGCTCACTCACGCGCGACGTTGGGGGTAGAGCGGTGGTCTGCGCGGTTCTTCACGAGCCGGTCGTCGCCGTGAGAGACTGCGCCGCCCTGCTGCTCCTGCTGCTGCTGCTGCTGGTGGGCGTCGGTGTGGGTCTCTGCCGGCTCTTCCGGGCTGTCGGGACGCGCCGCGCCGCGGTACAACTCCAGCCCCTCGCTCTTGGGCCTCGCCTTGCCACCGGTGCGACGGTCCGTTCCTGCGACGCACGCACACGCACAGAGCCTTAACAGACTGTAGGGGCAAGTGCTGTTAGCGAGCACCAATTGAAGGCCATGCAAGCACACACACGCACGCACACGCACGGGCACACACACACACACACAAAGATCCCCCGTATAGTTTTTACAGACGGTTGGGGCAAGTGCTGTTAGCGAGCACCTATGAAGGCCATGCACACACACACAAACATACGCGCATACACGCGCACACACACAAGCACAAAGATCCCCCGTATAGTCTTTAACAGACTGTTGAGGCAAGCGCTGTTAGTGAGTAGCACACAAACAAACAAAGATCCACCGTATAGCCCGAAAAGACTGTAGGGGCAAGCACTGTTAGCGAGCACCTATGAAGGCCGGCACGGCACACGAAGGGGTGGCTGGCCAGCACCATGCCCGGCCTCCTTTGTCTCCCCAGTGGCGATGTTTTACACACCGCACCAGGTACTCACTTGAGGCCGAGTCAACCTAGGGGAGGCCCGGGACCGGTTCAAATAACCGTCAACGGTGTTGGCCGTGAGCGGGAATCGAACTCGGGACGTCCATGTACGCTATCAATTTAAAAAAAAATAAAAACATTATCCGTACCGAGGATCCCAGAATGCCATGCGGGAGGGCATGTGGCACAGTTTGGCGCCAGCTGTCGTAGAGCGCCGTCGTGTCGCTGCGGCTCACTGCAGCTGAGTACAATGTCTTTAAAACCAGCGGCGCTACGCCCCTCGAAATAAATTGAACCGCTTGGGCGTTCCGAGATTCGGGATCTTTGTCCTCCGTGTGTGCTCTCTGTGTGTGTGCTCTGTGTGTGTGTGTGTGCTCTGTGTGTGTGTGCTCTCTATGTGTGTGTGTGTGTTCTCTGTGTGTGT